GATGGGTGGGTGGGTGGATGGGTGGGTTGGGTGCATGGATGGGTGGATGGGTGGGTGGATGGATGGATGGGTGGATGGATGGGGGTTTTCCCTTCAAATTTTCTAGGATTCCGCCCCCTCCTCCGCGGCTGTCCACATCGGAAAAGACACAAAACACTGTGGTTTGAGTTCGCCTGTGTGTTGCATTGCTCCAGGGTTTGCCTGTCTGCCGTGCACCTACATTTCTTTCAGGTCTATTCCATTCTTGATTTAAAAAAAAAGTTTTGTTTTCATTTCTTGTAGTCTAAAGCGAATGGTAAGCAGATGGGTGGACGTGTGTACTGTTCACAAACCTAGCATCCGTGCAACGTGTCCTCTACGAAAATACGTTTCAAGGAAGCCACAAACCAGCAAAACCCACCCACTAGATCGTTTAAAAAGTTGAGTGTCTGGACCGCTGGCTGTGGGTGGCTTTGTTTCCTTGAAGCTCATTTTCCCCCTTTCTTCCTGACGAGTCAGTTGGGTGTGGAAAGGTGATGAGCATGGTAGCAGAAGGTTTAAGACATTGAAAGACCATTTGTCCAGATGCCTCTGGTTGGGTCAGGATGTTCGTTACATGATAAAAAACAAAGGGGGGCGGGCTGCTCCTCGCCGCGGTGCGGTGCGGTGCGCGGGACCGCGGAGCCCCAGGGTCCAGCTCCAGGTCCGCCGTCCTGACCCTCGCGGGCACGGATCGGGCTGAAGGCCGCGCCGGGCGGGCGGAGACCCGATGCACCTCACGGAACCCGGGCAGAAGCGGCGCCTGCCAACCCCACGGGCGAAAAATAAAATCTTCTTTGCAGAGGCGGCTGGTGGAGAAGCCTAACGATTCTATGTGCTTTACATTGCTAGCAAAGAAGGAAGGAGGGAAGAAAGAGAGAGGGGGGGAAGGAAGGAAGAATGGGAGCAAAAAAACGAGGGAAAGACAGAAACAGGAAGAGAGGGAAAGAGGAAGGGAAGAAAGAGGGAGATGAAGGAAAGGAGGGAGGGAGGGAAGGAGGGAGGAAGGGAGGGAGGGAAGGAGGGAGAAAGGAAGAAATGAAAGGAGGAAGGAAAGGAAGGAGTATGGGAGCAAAGAAAGAGGGAGAGTCGGAAACAGGAAGAGAGGGAAAGAGGAAGGGGGAGAAAGAGGGAGAGGAAGGAAAGGAGGGAGGGTGGGAAGGAAGGAGGGAAGGAAGGAAGGAGGGAGGGAGGGAGGGAAGGAAGGAGGGAGGGAGGGAGAGGGAGGTCACGCGAACTGTGCGCTGGGACTGAAGCGGGTTTCAGAGCTGCGTTTTCCTCCGCGCGCCTCCATGTTTCTATCATTTGACTTACGGGTTTTTTTT